AGATTAGCTACAGAGAGGCTTCAGGACAACAGAGTCAGTGTTGTGGAGTGGCCATCACAAAGCCCTGATCTCCATCCTGGAGAACATCAGTGGGGCAAGGAGACCAACAAACCTGACTCAGTTCCACCAGTTCTGTCAGGAGGAATGGGCCAGAACTCATCAGACTGTTGTGAGAAGCTTGTGGAAGGAAACCCAGAACGTTTGACCCAAGTCATAGAGTTTAAAGGCAACGCTAGCAGATACTGAGGAGATGGATAAAAATAACCAAAAATCCTCTCTGTCATTATTCTGGCGTTTAGCAAATAGAAATAATGTTGGTGATCCTGACTGACCTGAAACAGGAAAAGTTTCATGTGATTTAATGTCAGACGGTGAGAAATAAAAGGTTGTGTGTCTTTTTATACAGTCGTGGTAAACGACGCGCTGTGCAGAAACAGACGCACTCAGTAGCAGTTCACTGGTGTTTCCTGGCAGCGTTTAAAAAAAAAAAAAAATCAAAACAAATCCTTCAATATAATCAGCGCAGAAAATAAAACGTGAATTTGAAATCGGCGAGTCTACATAACAACATACCATCCTGGGAGTGGATTTTCCACTTTATTTATTACGTGCTTCCACTTAATTTGAATCTGAAATGCATAATTTTTGCTTAACGGAACATTTTTATAGGTTGGTTTTGCTGCTTTTGTGCGACTTGAGGATATAGTTGCAGTAATTTTATTTTTCTGCCTTCATAATGAAGTCCTACATGACTGACAGTGGCTATGTGCAGAGTGCTCAGGTGGCCTTTATATCCCACAAACCGAATGCTTTCATATTAGTCTGAGGCCCTGCAGGTAGTTTAAAGAGGCTCCACGGCGGAAAAGACTGCATTTAAACCGTCTTCAGGCTTCCACTCGGTTCGGCTTCGTTTCCGAGACGCTGCGGCAGATAATCTAAAAGGAAAGCCTGCTCGCACGCGCTTGATTAACTGGAATTGCGACGCCTTTATTTCTGCTCTTTATCTTTATAATCCTCACAGTGAAGGAGGAGGGAGGAAAATATTCTCCGCGGTCGTAACTTTCCAAAGTTGTAAAATCCTGTCTCGTGGTATTTTACACCTCCGTGCCGTGTTTTGGAGTCTGATAATCCCCTCAAAGTGGTGGACGTGAAGCTGAAGCTGAAATTCCTCGATGGTTTTTCATCTGCTGCAGCCACGCTAGCACCTCTGAGCTCCAGCAGGCTGCACGTTTCCTGTGGTCCACTCCAAATGTTTGATTATTTAATTGCAGTCATCGTTCCCCATAAACACAAAAACAAGCTTTTCCCCTGCTGACTTTGTAGAAAACCTCCTTCTTTATTACAATAATAAATATGTCCTGTATCTTGCTTTAACTTGCTGTCGGTGTATTCTCTGTTACGTCTTTATCAGCTTCCTTTATTGCTTTTTTTTCTGGCTTCTTTGTGTGAATGTCTCATAGTGTAATGATCTGTGCACCAGAGCAGTCCTTTCTTTGTTTGTTTGTAATTCCTCTTTGCCTAATAATATAGGAAAGATGGGTTTAAAGTAAGAAAAACACACATCAATGATCATAAAACTCAATTCATAAAGATCAGACGAACATCAAAGCAAGTAGATGCTGCAGAATTCAGACGAGCTCAAGTTTTATCAGAAAAAAACATCACATTCGACTTGTGATGTCTCCTCCTCCTCCTCTTTCACCTTCGTCTTCATCTTCACTTTCCTTGTCTTCTTTCTCCGTTTTCTCCTCCTTCCTCCTTGTCTTCTTCCTTGCCCTCTTCTCCTCCTCCTTCCTCATCTTCTCCTTCTTCACCTCCTCCTTATTCTTCCTTTCCTTCCTCCTTCTTCATCTTTTTCTTCTTCTTATCCTCCTCCTCTTTCACCTTCATCTTCATCTTCATCTTCTCCTCCTCCTTCTGGTCCTTCTCCTTCCTTGTCTTCTCTTTCTCATTTTCCCCTCCTTCCTCCTCTTCTTCTTCTTCTCCTTCGTCTTCTCCTCCTCCTCCTTCTTCCTTGCCTCCTTATTCTTCCTTTTCTTCCTCCTTCTTCTTCTTCTCTTTCTCGTTTCTCATCTTCTTCTGCACCTCCTCCTTCTTCTTCATCTTCTTCTTATTCTCCTCCTCTTTTACCTTCTTCTTCTTCTTCCTTCTCTTCTTCTTCTCCTCGTCCTCCTCCTTCTTCTTCTCCTTCTTTTTCTTCACCTCCTCCCTCTTCTTCCTTTCCTTCCTCCTCCTTCTTCTTCTCTTTCTCCTTCCTCGTCTTCTCCTTCCTTATCTCCTCTTTCTCCTTCCTCGTCTTCTCCTTCCTTATCTTCTCTTTCTCCTTCCTCGTCTTCTCCTTCTATGTCTGTGTAGATCCACACTCATCTAAGTCACAGTAATTGTAAGTACTTGGGTAGAAGGCAACTGGACTTTTTGTTTTTGAAGACGTTAGGAGGACTAACCGTTCTTCATCGGTGTGTCTGCTTTCTGCTGGTGAACACATGAACTCAGTACCTGTAAGATCAGCTCCTGCTGTGTCGTTTCTGGGGTTACCATGGCTACACACCAAAGCCGCGGTGGTAAGATTAAGAACCATCGTGAGCTGTGACGGCAGCCGGCCTCCTCTACCAGCTGGTTGCACTTCACGCTGAAAACAAAGGAAGCAGCAGCAGCAGCAGCAGCACCTTTTAATGAAAGGCTAAAGGACAGTTTTAGGGGACGGCAGCTTTGCAAATTCCTTTCTCATCCGAGGAGCTTCATCAGTTCCCAGAACTTCCGCTAATAGTGTCAGACTTTGTTTTTCTTCAGTGCAAATGGAAGCCGTCGCCTGAAAATACAAGGAGAGCTGTCGTCAGCCGCCTCACGTCCCAAAAACATTCACTGAACTTGAGAACAAATGCAACTCATGGATTCGCTGTAACGGTGACACAGATGCAGATGTTGAACAGTTTTCAGCAACTCAAATTTGGTAAAAAAATCTTGTTTGTTTTTTAGGCACAAGAGTGGACGACGCCAAAGCTCTGATCGCTGCCAGTCCACTGAAAATCCTGGCCTGCGACGACCTGGATGAAGCCGCCAAAATGGTAAACGAACACACGCTTTTAACTTAAACACACTCTGTCTTCTTTAATTTGACTCTGGAGCGGAGGTGGTGGCGTGTGTGTGGTTGAACGTCCGGAGAAAAGTAACCTCGAAGCTGTAAAAACGCTGAGAAGAGTTGGGAACAGGTGTGCAGGAAATGAAGAGAAAACCCACAACCAATGAGTGTTCATGTAGTCTAACTGTAATGACTACAGAGTACTAATTTAATAACTGGAACGTTGTGTCTGTTCTATTTAAACAGTTTGTTTGGCTCTTCAGAAAATGGTTCTATTCTCAGTCAGTGCAAAAAACAAAGATTTTGTTAGTGTTTATATGCTGATTTTATTCCAAAAAGGAGGATATGAGGTGCCAAGTCCTGAAAGGAAGAGAAAGGACTTTGTTTTTAAAGAAAAAAAAAAAAGGTCACATTTGGTTAGAAAAAAAAAAAAAAACTTTAGAGACGTTTGTTTGAGTTTGAAAGATTTAGTACAAATTCTGCCGCTAACACCTCCTCTGTTGACAGTTTTTACAACGTCAACGTGTTCATATCATAGACTGTATAAAAGATGGACGTAGCAACCGGCCCTGAAAAATGAAGCCAACCTGGAAGTGTCAAAAACCTGCAATATCACTACGTCCACTAGCTGCTGGCTCCAAAAAGTCCTGGCTCCCATAGAAATGAATTGGAAAAGAAGTGATCACAGATCATGAAATACTGCATTCCTACAGCTCAGGATTTGTTTCTTATTAGTTTTCATGGTCAGATCCAGAGATCAGGTGGCCAATCTGAGAATCGTCAACATTTTGCGGGGCAAGGGGCGTGGCTGGCTTGATTGACAGTCGTCAGCGACGATGCAGACGAAGCGAGCAGAAGGCGGTAAATGTGGGCGGGGCAGAGAGGGCCCGCCTCTCAATCCGTCTGACCAATCGCTGCTCCTGTGGCTCCACCCCCCTCCCACGATTTTTGCGTCACTGGCTCCAAAAATCCAAGATGTCAACCAGGAAGTAGCAAAACCCTGGCTTCATTTTCTCAGTGCAGAAACCAACGGGTGACGTCACGGTAGCTACGTCCATCTTTTATACAGTCTATGGTTCATATGGAGTTTTATTTTATACACTGGAAGACAGAAGCACGACTGAGCAGTTGCACGTAGAAACTGCAGCACAGATTCAGTTTTCAGAGGTTTTCATGTGTAATCGACTTGATTCTGTTCATCCTCCGTGTGTTCACAGGTTGTTAAGCTTTCTGAAATCGTCTCTCTGGCAAAGGAAGCTCAAGTGGACATCACCTTCCAGCTGCCCATCTAAGAAACCCAAGCACTTCCACCTCCACCTGCCCCCTCAGACACCCACAAATCCACTCCCAAGACCGGGCAGCAGGACGGACCTCCCCGTTTAGTTTCTTCTTCTTTTTCTGGCTCTGTGGCGCGATGGCACGACTGTGATCCGGTTCCACCTCTTCTTCCCCCCCCATCGTCTCTAACCCACAAACTTATGTTGCACTTCAGTCGATACGCACAAACCTCCACCTTTAAATCCTCCTTCACGCTCCTTCACCAGCCGGTCCGTTTGCTTCGGTACTCGTCGGGAAGCGCTCTTCCTTTCGACCTTTCTTTAAAAATGTTGAAAAAAAACGCGGCAGCCGAAGCATTTTTCTGCTCGATATCAGCTTCAGCGTGTTTGTCACTAAACAGGAATGTAACGGAATAAGGAATGAACTCGTTCGCCTTCATGTGAGACTTTGTCCATCAAAACACACAAACTGCCCGACTTGAGCCGCGACATCGGCTTCAGGAAATGGCCTCAATTTTCTCCTCAGCGAGAGAACAATAAACAACACTGCAGCATTGATTCGATAATCGTGCTCAGACGCAGACATTGCTTCAGAGATTGTGCCGGTTTTTTTTTTTTCCTCCCCTCCTGCAGGCCTCGGTGTTATTTCTGTACCTCCTATAAGTGTTCATCAGCCCATTCATTACTCACAGAACAGATGCTTGCTTCTTCTAAAGCTGGAGACTCGACTCTGACGGCGTTCAGGTTCACTGTCGAGCCTCCAGAGACGATAAAAGAATAAAGGAACTCTTCACTGCCGGGTTAGTTTATCCTCAGCTTTGAGGATCTGTTTGGAATCTCGGCTGTGGACTCTCATCGATCGATGCGGGAGTTTTCGCTCGTGTGCCGTCACGTTGAACACAGGTGGTACATCACAGCCGAGTTGGTTAAATAAATGGATCGCTCAGTGTTGAGCAATTCAGATGAGTCGACCGGATCCTATTTAGTGGAGGCACATCTGTGATTTTTACACTTACGAAGAAGAACACACGTCGTTATTTGGGGTCGATGGTGGCGTAAATCACCACAAATCCATCTCGAACCGTCATCGTAGCTTTATTGTCACTAAAGTCTGGTGTTTGGTTGAGTTTAGACACCTGGTTAAGTTAAAGAGAGGAACATCAGCTCGCTTCTACGTGTTGCAAAGCTCCATCTCCTCCATTTTCAGGGTGACACCTCCTCGATTGCCGACTTTATTGAGGTTACTGTCTGCTTATCAGTGATCAGAATGAATGATTAAGCACCTGCTGGGTCCAGCAGAAGGTGGAGGAGGTCTGTTCTAGTTTGTATACATAAGGACGACCTATGATTGTTATAGCGGTCTAATGGTTTGATGATCCAGTAAACTAGCGTGGCGCTACGTCTCCACTCGTTACTCGTTAAATTTCCAACTAAATTCACCGTCATGCAAAGTTCGTTGACGTAAACAGCAGGTGGCGCCACTTCTCCGGTTTATGTCGCCGTTTATTAGCCGGCTCTGTTTGCACTTTGTTGAGTTTTGCTTTTAGTGAAGCTGCAAAGATTCTTGCAACTCCAAAAACAAACACCTGATCAAAAGGCTTCGAGCGCTACGAAACTGAAAAGATGAATTGTTTCTGAAATACCCGCAGCTGTTTATCAGCACGCAGGTTTATGGAAACACATTGATTTTCAAAAATCTCTGCACAATTAATGTTACTTTAAAAAAAGGGGACGAGCAGAAAGTTGAGGCTGATCTCCGTTTTTTCAGCCCAACATTAAATCACCCGTTAATCGAGAAAAAACTACTGCCACGAGTTTCGTTCTTTTTTGCTTTAGGATGTTAAAAGTTACAAGAAATGGACTGTCGCCTGGTGGAGCCACTGGAAATTTGCGTTCTATTTATTTGCTTTACTGCAGCGGCTGCTAACGTCGTGCCGTCGCGCCACAGTGAGGTAGCAGCTTTCTTTAAGAGTTTTTTTTGTTTCGTAACGTCAGGCGGGTCAAGTCCTCTCAGTCGAACTGTAAAACTTTCTTTCCCTTCCCTCCTCTTCCTCCTCCTCCTCCTCCTCATCTCTCCTCCTCCAGCGCTCCAGACACAAGCCGACATCGTGGGTTGTACGTCATTTATTTTATCTTGTAAATAACCAAACTGATGTTCTCGCTCTGTAAAATATTTATGCTCCCTGCGACGAGTACAACAATAAATACAGAGAACACCAACGTTTCTGTGGTTTGTTTTTGTTCCGGACGGACACGAGGAGCGTGTTTTAGCGTTGTGATGTAGTTTTGTATTTATAAAGCAGAAGGCGGGGAAATAAAATCAGCCTTTATTAATCCCACAGTGGGGAAATTTTCAATGTTACTGCAGCAAAGATGTGCAAACATTTAAGAAATGTGGTACAAAATTAAACCAAATACAGATACGTAGTCGTTCTAGAAATAATTGCACAGATATTTTTTGACAAAATAAAAATACTGAGAGATTATTATTGCACAAATTGTTTTAAAAGATTGCAGTGTTGGAAAAAAAAATAAAAGATGGTTCAAAGGGAATTAAAATCGAGCCAATAAAATGTACGTTTTAAGAGTTCACCGACTCGGCCGATGTGATTTTCTCGGGCAGATCGTTGGAGCCTCGAGGCCTCGTCTGCAAACGCTTGGTACCCTTTAGATTCCAGCCAGACCTCCAGAACAGGAAAAAAAACGCACATCTCTGTCCGAGGATGCGTATAAAAGGTCAGAGATACGAGTCGGAGAGAGGCCAGGAAGGACCGGAAAAGTCACGAGTAAAATCTAAAAATCTATCCTAAAGCGTTTAGAGGCTGAACAACGGCGATGTGAGCGCCACAGTTTTCTGAAGTTAATCAATACGTTTCTGTTTTGGGGCAGGTAGAAAGGCTGTTGGAATAATAATAATAAAAGTGTGACGAGATAAAAGTCTGTAAAAGACAGATTAAACTTTTGGAAAGATTTCTAAAATGAGGATTGGACAGGCTCTCGAAACATCTGTCGAACCAAACCCCAGGAACCAATCAGACTCTTTAAATGTCTTTTACCCGCCTGCTGTAATCAGTAACAGGATTTTAATTTTATATTTCATATGAAGCTGCAGGCTGTCAGAAGACTCAACATCTATAAACTCAATGATGCAACAGAAACCTTTTTTTTTTAGTAGCCATCACTGGTTCATTACGTGCCAGTTATAGCAAAAATAACTAAAACATATCTTCATTTTTAAATATTAAGTTGGTATCATTCTTTCTGAAACACCCGCCGGCCCTCAATGTTTCCTCTTTTGTTCATCTTTGAAAAAATCCAAGCAAATACATTTTCTCAGCAACATCAGTATGTTTTTTGTGTGTGTTTTCTGAGCTTGGTCGCAGTAAATAAAACAAAAAAAAGTTTATTTAATTCGTCTTTTTAACTTCAGAAAACATGGTCTTGACTCTTAAGTGTAAGTCAAATTTACTAATTTACCACTTTTTACACTTCAGGAAAATGACATTAAACTTGCGCACCACTGAGTTTTTAACCACTAGATGGAGCTAGATTGCTGCCTCCTGCTGTTTTTTCCCCATCTTTATGCTAAGCTAAGCTAACCGGGTGCTAACTGTAGCATCAAACTGAACTGACGACTTTTGCTTTCCAGCTCAGTCCGACAGCTGATAGCAGATGAGATTGATGTCTGCAGGGAGGAGTTTAGTTCAACTATAACCTGCTTTTTTGCTTCCATTCCAGTCATGTTTGCAGCTAAACGGACCGTTCCAGCTGCTCCTCGTGCAATTTAAACGCCAAAATGTGGGTCTGTTTAGGGAGAAAATACAACAATGGAAAAGAAATTAAAACAGATAAAGCTGCATTTTGTCTCTTCTCCGATTTCAGAGCAAGTTTCTGGAAGTTTATTCATCCTTTTTTTTTGTAATTTAATGGGTAAAAGATTAACATCCAGTCCAGAACGATGATGGAATAACCGTAATCTAACCTCCTCTCCAACTGGAGCGTCGGACTGCGATGAGAACCTTTTCCTTGCGTGGACGTTATTTTCTTGTTTTATTAATGCTGTGAACGTATCTCCGTCTGTTCTGGGCCTCGTGTCGACTCGCTCTGATTGCAGGTTCTGCCGGAGTGGCGCTGTAATGGCTGGTTGATTACTGGAGTGGGTGTTTGGTGACAGCAGGTTAAAACGCTGTTGACTCTGTTTATGGAAATCCACACATGATGAATCGAACGCTGCTCGAGTAGACGCAAAAAAACCATCTGTCGGTAAGGTTTAAAGATTTAAAGAACGCACTGCAAAAAACAAAACACAACACATGTGTCGTATACAACTGAGGTGAGAACAACCAGCGTGCAATATCACTTAAATGTCTCATCAGTAATCAGATTACTCCAAGGGGGAGAGTAGGGTGTTTGCTCTTGTGTAAAATTTTTAAAAAGCATAGGAACTCAATGCAACAAAAGTCTGAACACCTTTCATGACTGAGATTCAAGGCTTTTATTTTTTCAATGCTTCATGTGTCCAGCTTTACTTTTAGTTCTTCTTGGTGCTGAAGAACCACGTTTCACATTTCAGTACATGAAGTGGCTGCAGAGAGACACCAGGTGAACGCTCAGAGACAAAATGACCATAAAGGGGTGTAAAACACATACGACACGACACAAAATGGTGACGAAAAGATGCGAAATTAACATAAAGGGACAGAAAACAACTGGAAAAGGACACAAAATGACCACAAAGATGTGCAAAGTTATAACACAGGCATGAATAGCAACTGCAAAAGACACCAAACAACCAAAAAGAAATGCAAAGTTACAAAAAAAGGAAGTAAGACAACTGGAAGAAGACAAATCGACAACAAAGTTTTGCAAAATTGCCATAAAGGGTCCATAAAGGGTCCATAAAGGGACGTTAAACCACCGCAAAGAGGCACAAATTAAATACAAAATTACCAAAAGGGTAACACAACTCAAAAAAGACACAAAACAACCACAAAGATCTGCAAACTCACAGTAAAGGGATTTAAAATGAAACAAAAAAAAAAAAGAAAGCGAACACAAACAGATGCAAAGTTGCCATAAAGTGACGTAACTGCTAAAAAAAACACACAAAATGATTATGAAGACATGCTAAATTACCGTAACAGGATGTAAAACAACTGCAAAAACACACAAAACAACCACAAAGAGATGCAAAATAACAATAAAGAGACAAAACAACTACAAAAAAACCACCCTGTAAGTAGAAATCAGTTCTGAATCACTATAAAATGATGTGAAATTACTGCAGAACACAAATTGACCACGAAAAGTTGCAAAACTGCCAAAAACAGAAGTAAAAATGATGCACTTTAGACACAAAACTGTTCATGTAAATACTAAACACTGAAATGAGACAATGAGAATGTTTGTAATATGTAATATTGTGCAAAATACTCAGTACAGAAAACATGTTAACCGGGTTAGAAACTTGATTTTCACTGAGGAGGCCTTTAGAGACCAGCTCGTATGAGCATGGACGGTCTGTCTGCAGCTGAACTGTTGCTCAGAAACAGTTCTAAAACTGGACGTGGCCTCTGAACGCCGGACGGTCGAGTCACAGCAGAACCGCTGAGAAGCTGCTTCAGGTCACCAGAAGACTCCCGCCGGCTTCAGAGCTTCACTCCAACGACGTCGTGTTGAAACACACTCGGCTCTGAAGCCTTTTCTTCTTCAGCTCTTGATCCGGCGGCGACTCCTCGTTACGTCACTCAGGGATGAGAAGGCGACCGAAGCACAACACGTCGACATAAACCAACCTTCTTTGTTTTTAAAGGGTCGTAGCTAAAGCCTGTTTAGCGGCGAGGCAGGGGCGAGTCGGCCGCTGATTCTTCATGGACGCGCTGCTGCATTCGGGATTAAATGTGACACTGCTCGGGGGACGAGTGTTTCTTAAACGTTTTTCAGACGTGTGTTTGTGGGCGACAGGAGAGCGTCGAGGCTGGATCTCAACCAAACTACACTGAATGTGTGTCATGAGTAATCTGAGCCGTGGAAGCAGAACGCAGCGACGCCAGAGGTCCTCATTTAAACCACTTTCACAGCATTCAGCCAAATAAAAGGGACCAAAACAAACAAACAAACAAACAAATAAGCAAACAACAAACAGCTTATGACACAATCCAAGTCGAGCTCCGTGCGTCTCAAAACTGCGACTTTAAATCTGACACACGTAAGCAAAAGGCTCTACGGCAGCTTTTGTTTCCAGACTTATTTTTGATGACTTAAGATGCTAACATTAGCACGCTAACAACCATTTTAAGCACATACTGAAGGACTGCATCAGAAAAAGTGAACAGAAACAGCAAAACCTGCGCCTGATGTCACTGAAATGTGACGCAGCTGCATCACCTGTTCAGTGCTTTGTTATAGACTTCAGCGTCTCTGAGTTTTTATAAAGGTGCCATATAAAACTTATGTACTATTATTATGACCTGGGGCTGCAGGGTGGTGCAGTTGGTAGCACTGTTGCCTCGCAGCAAAAAGGTCGCCGGTTTGCGTCCCGGTGGGCGCACTGAAATCTTTCTTCGTGGAGTCTCCATGTTCTCCTCGTGCAGTGTGGGTTCTCTCCAGGTTCTCCGGCTTCCTCCCACACAGTCCAAAAACATGTTGAGGTTAATTGGTGATTCTAAATTGTCCGTAGGTGTGAATGTGAGTGTGCTTGGTTGTCTGTCTCTAAGTGTAGCCCTGTGATAGACTGGTTACCTGTCCAGGTGAACCTGCCTTCACCCTGAGTCAGCTGGGATAGACTCCAGCCCCCCATGACCCTAGTGAGGATTAAGCGGTGTATAGATAATGGATGGATAATGACCTACTGCTGTGTCTTGTGAGCACAACGGCCTTCATGATAGTATTTAACTCTACTCGTAATTAAAGTCACAACATGACAGAACGTGATGAGAACGAGTGGACGTCGTGTATTTTTAACTTTCTGTTAAACACTCGTGTGCAGTTTGAAATTCGCTTCCCAATTCTATGAAAACACGTTGATTTCTTCTCCTCCGTCTCGACTCGGAGCCTCATCTCGAGGCCTTTTCGACCGGCTCTCAGACAGATTAGAGAGCGGCATTAACACTTTGCTGGTTGTACAATTATCATGACCGATGATTAACCTCGTAGTTTCACAGGTCAGCTATAATTAGACAAAGACGGAAGCAGGTTAAGCTGGAACTCTAACAGAAGTT